GTGTCTCGAAAACTTTCTTCAAATCTCGGACTCACAGTAATTTTTGATTTTCCAGGTGCGTATAGTGGACGTGGCCGTGGTGGTGGAGGTGGCGACTATGGTTATGATGACCGCTACGCCGGCGGTAGTTACGGTAGAGGCCGCGGGCACTACGATGACTATGACGGATATGCTAGAGGTGATGGATACGGACGTGGCGATGGTTTTGGTCGTGGCGATGGATATTACAGAGGCGGCCGAGGGGGTTTTGGTGGCCGTGGTGATGGCGGTTATGGGCGCGGTGGACTTGGACGTGGACGAGGTCAGATTTGTACTGTTTATTGATTCGGCATTTTCATCTCCTTCTAGTTCTTTGAATCCGTGCGAGTTTGGAGTGCCAGAATTATTCATTTTGGTGGAAAGTATAAAAATCAGATTACTATTGCGTAGCCTGGATAAAAAATCGTTGGTGTCGACTGGAAATCACACTAGAGAATGGAAATTTTGCTGAAAAGAGTAACTGAATAAATGAGTACAATTGTTGATCGATGGCCTGGATCTCAGTCTATGCAGCTGGAAACTTTCCCAAAACCGTTTGGTCTGACAGTTCCTCGTTGCTTTCACTGCGAAGTTCCTCGTCGCTTTCACTGTTTTTAGGCGCTGCTTATTATGATGACGACCGCGATTACTATAATGGCGACGGGCCAGTTATGATGATCTATGGGATTGATCAAGAGAATTTCAACTGCGACAAAATGTTCAATCTTCTCTGTCTTTACGGCAATTGCGAAAAGGTAAATTTGCTGCTGTTTTTTCCTGAGAAGGCGGCGGTGATTATTGGAACTCGTGAATAACTAGTAAAATTTTTTAGTTCTCAAGGCATGCTGCTTGCTCTACTGTTGTTAGTGAGCAGCATATGCCTAGTATAGAGATGTCCAATCAAATAAACTTTTAAGAAATAACCCACATCCACCATTGACAGGCATCGAACACTAATAGGATATTTATTCAACAATTGGGGCATATATACTTGTCATATATGTGATTGCCGGCTGCTATGTGATTGCCGGTTGTGAAGTTGCATTGTTGACCTGCGGTAGGCCCTTAGTACTGGCATATGTCAGGATTCAAACCCGTCATCAGCTTGCTTGTAAGAAACAATCGAAAAATATAACCGTAGACGGCCTTGTTAGCTTACAGTTATTGTTACCGTTTGCCCCTCTCAGACTGCTTCCCGAGTCCCTTTGTTTATCGTAGGGAATGAACACGAAAGAATCTTAATTTATGGCATTTGGTTAAAAAAAAAAAGAAAATGACATGATGCAGAATTTTAATGCATACAGACCGAAAGACATGGGGTTCTTCGAAAGTAGAAGGACCTAGTAGGGCTGTATGCCTGCGTTTATATATATCGCGCTAACATCTGGATTTTGTGTCTAAGGAGCTGAGGAGGCGTTTATTTCTTATATAGTTAAATGTTGAATTTTGAAATTTACGGATACTTTCAACTCTGTTGAAGATCAAGTTCATAAATCGAAGACGGACACGGCAATGGCACAGATGGGTACTGTACGACAAGTTTATACAGCAATTGATAATCTTCATGGCACGCAAGCTTTTGGCAACAGAATTGCATTGCGTCCATCAAAACAGCAGATTTTGCATGAAATACGTGATCCGTTTCCGTTACCCGATGGCACACCATCATTTCGGTAGTGTTTTTCGCGGGATTTCGTGAAGAGTATTTTAAAAAGAAAAAAGAGTTTAATGCTTTTCATTCTGAAGAAATTCGAGGTGTGCAGCCAAGCTATTTACTGTCATGTGTTGTTTTTAGCAGTGAAATTACACGTTTACTTGTACATACAGCAGTCATAGTCAAAACCCCAACTAACGTGTTTCACTGGGTTTGAGAGAGAGCGAATACATTCGCTTTGCCCGGAGCACCCATCCATCCACTACATACCCGTGACTATTTTTCTTTTTTAAAGATTGCTTACAAGCAAACTGATAATGTCTTGATTCTTTAACATGTTCCAGTGTGGTAAAAGGATGAGCTGTAGGAGGATCGGTTCGCTTGCGGGTACAGTCGAACTGGCAGGCGGAGCTCATTCACCGCGCCTAAATTTACCAGTCTTTTCCTGCATATCTGTGTTAAGCGTAGACGAGTAGTTCTGAACCGAGAAGAAACACTGTCCGCAAAAGCTTGGATTGTCAAATAAATGGCCGTGAACGTTGCTGTTTCAGGGAATACATCAACAGTCGTAATCAGCGCTACAGCACCCCTGAGCTGGCGGCACGAAATCGAATTGTGAAACCAACGAACGTCTTGCATTGGTATAATGCTCCAGTTACGATGACCGAAGAGAAGCTCAGAGAGGTCCTTTCTTTTCGTCCCAATAGCACAAAATACTGGAAGCTGGTGAATGTTCCATGAAACTACATTGGAAAATGAATGTTTATGCACGGGAAGTAGGAATAATTTTGTCGGCTAACAGGAACCGAACCCCGTCTTCGCTCCTTGTTTTTGGTGAACTTTTGAGTGGAGTAAAGTCTTACCAGGAATAAGTCATTCATGCTATCAGACCAAGTGAGCGAAGATACGTGTAACCGTCGCGAACGGACATCGAAATGCAATTGGGGCACAGATAGGCAATTCGCTGTAAGGTCGTGATTAACTGTTGTTTGTTTCGGGAGGATGCGCTCGGCGAAAAATACATTGGATGCTGACGTCTTTTTATTCTGATAGAAAAGCAGAACGGTTGGCCAAGTCCGAAAAGCATACATGCTGATGTCAGGAACTGATTTATTGTTTTTTATGCGTTTTTTGCAGCAATGCAATGCGAAAAACGCATATTGACGAGAGGTTGT